ACTCACAGTGACCTTATAGGACAGAGTGGAAATGCCCCATAGGGTTTCCAAGGCTGTAAATCTTTACGGAAGCAGACTGCCACATCTTTCTCCCGCTCTGCCGACCTTTCAGTTAGCAGCTGAGCACTTAACCACTGCACCACCAGGGCTCCTCTTCAGCATCACAGCAACACGTAAATCACCACTGACAGATAGGTGGTGGCTGCACGTGAGGTGCACTGACGGGCACTGACTCCCAGTCTCCTGCATGGAAGGCAAGAATTCTACTACGGAACCACCAAGGCCCTCTATTCTGAGGTCTAGGGGTTATATTAAAATTTTCAACAAAAATAGATAGTAAGACATGAATTATTCCAGTTTTGTTCAGGTCCTCAATATAGCAAACCTAGAGCTAATATGTTATTTTATTTCTAATACAGTAGACTTATTGATTAGAATTAGTTGCGATGAGGCTTGGTTTGATTAGGTTGATTTGCCTCTGTACTACTTATTAAAATAGGACACTTATTATTCATTAGGAATTTAGGTGGAATATTTGAAAACTTGTTTTAAAAGAAACTAAATAGTTGAGAAATATTATTCACTTATACATAGCTAATTAACATCCTATTAATAAACATTCTTATTTATTCATATGGTCTACTATGCCAGGAATGACAAATTGAAGAGGAATGGCATTGCATTCATCGACAAAAAGAACATTCCAAGAGCCATCCTGAAGTACAATGCTGTCAGTGATAGGATAATATCCATAGGCCTATAAGGAAGACCAGTTAATATGACTATTATTCCAATTTATGCACCAACCACTAAGGCCAAAGATGAAGAAATTGAAGATTTTTACCAACTTCTGCAGTCTGAAATTGATGAAACATGCACTGATAATTACTGGTGATTGGAATGTAAAAGTTGGAAACAAAGAAGGATGAGGAGTTGGAAAATACGGACTTGGTGATAGAAACTATGCTAGAGATCGCATGATAGAATTCTGAAAGACCAATGACTTCTTCATTGCAAATATCTTTTTTCACCAACATAAATGGCTACTATACACACGGACCTCACCAGATGGAATACACAGGAATCAAACCGACTACATCTGTGGGAAGAGATGATGGAAAAGCTCAATATCATCAGTCAGAATAAGGCCAGGGACAGACTGCGGAACAGACCATCAGTTGCTCACGTGCAAGTTCAAGTTGAAGCTGAAGAAAATTAAAACAAGTCCACGAGAGCCAAAGTATGACCTTGAGTATACCCCACCTGAATTTAGAGACCATCTCAAGAATAGGTTTGATACATTGAAAACCAATGACCGAAGACCAGACGAGTTGTGGAATGACATCAAAGACATCATATATGAAGAAAGCAAGAGGTCATTAAAAAGACAGGAAAGAAAGAAAAGACCAAAATGGATGTCAGAAGAGACTCTGAAACTTGCTCTTGAATGTCAAGTAGCTAAAGCGAAAGGAAGAAATGATGAAGTGAAAGAGCTGAACAGAAGATTTCAAAGGGCATTTTGGGAAGACAAAGTAAAGTATTATAATGACATGTGCAAAGACCTAGAGTTAGAAAACCAAAAGGGAAGAACACACTTGGCATTTCTCAAGCTGAAAGAACTGAAGAAAAAATTCAAGGCTTGAGTTGCAATAGTGAAGGAGTCTATGGGCAAAATACTGAATGACGCAGGAAGCACGAGAAGAAGATGGAAGGAATACACAGAGTCTGTGTACCAAAAAGAATTGGTTGACATTCAGTCACTTCAGGAAGTAGTGTACGATCAAGAACTGATGATGCTGAAGTAACAAGTCCAAGCTGCACTGCAGACATCGGCTAAAAACAAGGCTCCAGGAATTGATGGAATATCAGTTGAGATGTTTCAATAAACTGATACCAGCACAGGAAGTACTCACTTGTCTATGCCAAGCTACTTGGGAAACCAACCGAAAGAGATCCATACTTATGCCTATTCCGAAGAAAAGTGATTCAACTGAATGCAGAAATTATCGAACAATATCATTAATATCACATACAAGCAAAATTTTGCTGAAGATCATTCAAAAGTGGCTGCAGCATGGAACTGCCAGAAATTCAAGTTGGATTCAGAAGAGGAGGTGGAACCAGGGATATCATTGCTGATGTCAGATGTATCTTGGCTGAAAAGCAGAGAATACCAGAAAGTTGTTTACCTGTGTTTTATTGACTATGCAAAGGCATTCAACTGTGTGGATCATAACAAATTCTGGATAACACTACAAAGAATGGGGATTCCAGAACACCTAATTGTGCTCATGAGGAACCTGTACATAGATCAAGAAGCAGTCATTCAAACAAAACATGGGGACATTGCATGGTTTAAAGTCAGAAAAGGTGTGCGTCAGAGTTATATCCTTTCACCATACCTATTCAATCTGTATGCTGAGCAAATAATCTGAGAAGCTGAACTATATGAAGAAGAATGGGATATCAGGATTGGAGGAAGACTCATTAACAACCTGTGATATGCAGATGA